TTGCGCGTTGTGGGTGCGGTTGGAAGAGGAGGAGGGGAGGCCAAGTGATGACTTGGTCGCGAGAAATGAAAACCCTCACTTCGAAGTTGGCGTCGGTTGGTGCATCCCGACTGCCTGGCTGGGGTCCTAAGGACGGTGAACACGTTTGGTTGGACACACTTGCTGATATGGCTAGGAGCCGGCCCCAGTGGCGTTTGTGTTGTGAGTTCCTTTGTCCATCCCCCTCCTGTTTAGCATCCCCCTCCAATCACGATCTTAATCGTTAGGCATAATATGACTTTCTTTTACGGCAGCCAGCTGTTAGCTCTCCGGAACGATGTCCATCCGTTACTGGGGACTCAGCGGGCGTGCCACTGTTTGTTTGTTTTTTCTTTTCTTGCCTTTTGTATTGCGGCACAATAGCTGAGGTGTTTTCCACCTCCAGCTAACGTGTAATGATGATGATGATGATGATGCTAACATTCACTTAGGCCGCCAGTACCGTTGGATAAGTGTTTTTATGCTTACCACCCATCTGGAGCTTTGACCGTTCATTTGGCTGTGAATGCCTACATTTCCAATCAGTTTTACAACTTACCTCGGGAGGATCTTTGATTTGTTGTTCGGGACAATTTACTATCCTTCATAGCCTGAACAATTGGGTTCGGCCTTCTTCAGCGCTTCAAAATTGTATTTCAGTGGATATATCCCGGAGACTTTACGTGGTTCTACAGTCGATCAACACATCCCATTCAAAAAGATATTCAATTCATGACCTACGTATCAAACGGTCCCAGCCATTCGGTCAGGACAGCATCCAGGGACGAAACAGGCACTCACCTAACATGCGTCAGCCAACGGAAAAATTAGACACAACTTGACCGAGAATAACCGAGCAAATAACCGCTCAACAGAAAGCATAGCCAATTACAACTTACCACTCAATGGATTTGCGGTAGTGTTCCAGGACGTGGTGGGTTTTCGCCTGACAAGCGTCCTCCCTATATAAAGCCACAAATGTCCGTTTAACAACACTGCGATGTGGCGGATGTGACTCGCCACCTAATAGAGTCAAAGCCCATGACTTCACACTGACAAGTCAACAGGCATCATATTTCACCATTCCTTGAAAGTTCGTTACACTGACACTTCTACATCTGCATATACTGTCGTCAGTTTTCTTTTCACGATTTCACCGTTGATCTTTGCACTACGTACACACGAACCCAGTATATTGTCACATCTCTGTCGATCTTGCTCTTCAATTATCTTCCAATCTATCATCCGGGATTCCTGACCTATTCTTCGCTGATGTAATACTGCAGTATATAGCAGACTGAGTATGTCCTTACAACCATGTCCCAATCTTACGAAAAACCAATTATTCTTTTTACATTTGTGCCATCTGTACAGTTTTAATCGTAAATGTCTGGACAAATTTCTACTGTCAATGCCACAAAACGTCTGTACAATTTCACCTGCCTGATCATGCCTTCAGGGGCGTGTCTCGCATAGTCGAGAATAAATATTTATTTATTTATTTATTATTGCAGATCTGATCGCAAGCTGGGCTTGCACTCACGTTGGAGACACTTACAATTGATGTTTGCTGCATGAGTGAAAGTACTCCAGGATTCCAACACAGTCTACCAGCTGTCCTCATCAGTCTAACCACGCACCCGGTTCTATCTTCGCCTTCCTATTGACCCTGCGTCTGCCACATCTGGGCAAACTGGTGTTGGGATTGTCCTCAGCGCTAGAGACGAGATCGCTCCCCTATATTGGATTCCATTCAGCAGTCGCCTTTGCGCTATGAGGTTCCGTGGCTTTTACAGGGTTAGCGGACATCGAGCAGACAAGCGTGACCATTTTGTGTTCTCTGACTACGCGCCCACGGACTGCAGATCGGATACAGTCAAGAACCAGTTCTATCAACATCTTCATAAGCTGCTCATAAGGGCTCCTAAGAAAGACATCCTTATTATGGCAGGAGACTTTTATTCACAGATCGGTCGGCTGTTTCCATGTGAACGCCACCTCGGAATACCGTATGTTGCTATTCGCACTGACAACGGAGAGAGACTGTTCTGTCTATGTGCTTACCACCAACTCTTCCTCTCTAGTACGAGTTTTCGTCATCCTGAATGTCAATATGCCACCTGACTTCCTCCATCGTTAATCCAGCGCTGGTCACAGATTGATCACATAACCATAAATCCAAGGTGGTGCGAAGGCTTACGCGTTTGTCGATCATTTTGGTCAACTGGAATTGACACCGATTATGCATTGGTGTATGCGACACTTTGCATGCGTTTCAGTGGCACACCTGTGCCCAAGCAAACCCGATTACACATCTACAAGTTGAAGGACCCAGCGGTAGAAACGCAATATTAACAGTCTTCGCGAAAGTCTCTCGCCTGTCATGGATGTCGACCAACACTGTAACAAGCTATGCTATCCGCCGGCTTTTCCCGCTGCACAGCCAAAAGCTGGATTTTGGTATGATCCTCGGAACTGTTAAATCGCCGACGGATTGCTCCTGCTGGTGTGGAGTACAACGAACTCCATCTTCCAATAGCTGAAACCAAGCCTTCGCTCTGACCGTGAATCCCGGTGATAGAAACGAGCTGCTGAAATGGAAGTCGCTGCATGGACTGGAAACATCCAGTTTATTTTACCTCATCAAGGCCATTGGTTGCAATTCACGCGAAATCCGCCAGACAGTTTGGGGGTCAGACGGCACGAAACTCACCGTCATACATTACTAGGTTGAGTCGCTGGGCAGAGCAATTTACTTTTCTATTCAACTACTCAGCACAACCCACTGTGACACCGTTTCCTTCGTATGGTGCTTCGCCTCTCACCACAGATCCTCCTACCGAGGCAGAGGTCCGAGGCGCAATTCAGTCTTTGAAGTGTCATAAAGTTCCCGGCCCTGATAACTTCCCCCGTGCTCTATTCAAAGATGGCGAAGTCCTATCATTTTTCGCGAAGGTTTGAATTGCTGAGAAAGTTCGAATTACATTGGGGGGAATTGGTCATTACATGATTCATAAGTAAGTCTCCCGTGAAGATTGCGCCAACTACCGTGATATTTCGCTAATCTCTATTTCGTCCAAGATTTCTGTGTCCGTCCTATTCTGCAGGCTTTTGGCGACTAGGGAAGACGTTTCCCAAAGGGAAATAAGCCGGTTTTCGTCCAGGCCAAGATTACATCAACCAAATCTTCACACTCCGTCAACTTCTTGAACTGCGTCGCGTCCACCAACGGACAACAATCGTAGTGTTTGCAATGGAGTAGTGTTCTTGGACATCCGAGTAGAATTCGATTCGTAGAATAGCCCTGCGTTGTGTAATTGTCTACTAAGGAAACCTGTGCCCGACAATGGTGAGGGACATTTTGAAGTACACGTTGTGTGGATGGATTGCGACGCGCAATCTCAATGTTGACCGCGATTCCCACTGAAGTGAACCTTGATCTTTCGATCACGAGGACCGTAGCTGATGAAAATAGAAATTAGGTGTTGCCCGCCCGAAAACACTGCAGTGTTTTCGGGCGGGCAATACCCAATTTCTATGTGCCCAACAAGTTTGCAACCATTCTGAAGCATCTCTACAGCCACATGTTGAGCAATATCAGGACTTTTGGCAGGCTTTCCCCTCCGTTTGCTGTCACCAACGACGTTCGCCAAGATTGTCCTATTTCCATCTTTCCTTTACAGTTTTACAATCCGGCCCTTAGCCTCAAGGAATCACAGGCCTGACTTGTAGTCCGAGGGTGCGGGTTGGAGCACACGTAGGGAATTAGACGAAACTCGCATTATGCGTAGCCCACGCGTGTTTGTTGGTGACTGCGCGGCAGCGTAACTTCGGTACTGCGTACCGGCGTACTGCTGATACCTATCTATTTTCAATTTTGCACTTGCAAATGTCCATTGCGCTTCGGAAGGTCTTCAAAACTGCGGTATTGAGATTCTCCCAGTTGACAGAGTAGCGGACTTGGACTACGTTGATGATATCGCTTTTCTTAGGGACAATCAACAAGAGCGTCTTGAACGGCTTAGCGATGAAGGCGTCTAAGTTTGGTATGTATTTCACCCAAGGCATTTGTAAATTCTACTCCGGGATTAGCAGATGCCCGTGTCTACCCTCACCATTGCTGATTACGTGCTGAAACATGTCCCCTACTTCCTTTATCTAAGGAGTTGCATCAAAGCTGGCGGTGGTATCGGTGATGAGGTCTCACAACCAATCTCAAAGACCAGCCTTGCATTCATCAGACTTAGATACTTATGCTCTTATCGGGATGTCAGTCTCAAGCTCAAGGACAGGAAGTACATTGCCCCTGTCCGTGCGGTCCTCTTGTACGGCTGTGAAACCTCATCGATTCACTCGATGACAAGAAACGATTGTTAAATTTTTGACAATACTTGTCTGGTTAGGATTGCTCGTTGGTGCTCGCAACATCACATAAGTAACACAGAAATCCTGGCGCGAGTGCTTGGTGCAAACAGCTAGAACCGTTATTCCCGACACTACATGCCGTGGCTCGGCTTCGTATTGCGCCTACAGGTCTATTGCCTTCCACGTTGAGCATTATTTGCGGTCCACAGAAGAAATTGACATAGTGCCGCAGTGAACAACCGATGATGCGGAGAAGAGCATGAAGAAGGCAACTTTAAACTTGACGTCCGTCAGACAGGTCCAACTTCTAGGATAGGGACCACGCAACTCGGACTCCCAGTGATTAGTAACGCTGAAGATTATGGTGCGCAACAGACATCAGTGGCGACACTGTTGTACAACCACATCATCTAGCAATGAATGTTTAGTCGAACATAAAATTCAAACACACATACTCAATAGGGCGTGGTAATACCAAGAAGTCGTTTTCTTCTGCTGTTGTATTTCGTTTTCACCCTCCTTTCGCCATGGTTCTGATCACCATCATCATCCATATTTAATAGATGATCGATTTCTTATTTTCTCTGTTGTAACCGCAGTCCCCGCTTCCATTTCAGTGCGCGCGGCTGTGCTATTTCAGAAGAAAAACAAGAAGCCAGGGAAGATTGTTTACATGGTTACGTGTTGTTTAATACAAGTTCCTTCCTGATCTTTGGAGTTCTTCCCGCATTGAGTACTACAAATACACGTCCACCGAAGGTGAGAAACACATCTCAGCTGACTTGCTTCAACACAAAAAGATGTGAGATTAGACATTACAGTATACAAAGAGCAACAAAATATGCACTGGGTTCACAATCGTTGTGAGAGAAAAAGCTAAATGGGAGAGGAGGGACAAAGCGGCTCACAACCCAAAATCACTGTGGTCGATTCTTCTCCATGTTAATTAGTGTAACCAGCTAAACGCGCTCATCGTCCTTCGGACCTCAGTCCAGCAGTCGGGACACCAGCTGACGCTATTTTCGAAGCGATGGTTTTCATTTCTCTTGACCAAATCATCGTCTAGCCGCTCTATTTTTCTTCCACCCGCACCAAGGGCGCTCAAACAACGCACGTCGCGGGAGTCGTTATGCTGGAATCCGCAACACATGGCCCAGTCATCAGAGCCTGTTGCGTCATATAATGGTACTGAGAACTGGTGCGAAGCAGCGAGTAGAGGTTGCTCTGTGTAGCTGCATCATTCGTCGTTTTTGGACATGAACTTTTTATTTATCGTTTCGCTCTCTGTACTTTGCCTCTGCAAATTGTTGGTCTAGTAGCATCTTGAATTTAGACACGGTGTTCGCTTCTACTATATGCTGAGGCAGGTCGTTCCAGACATTCACCACTCTGCTTTCGAAACAGAGTTGATGGGTGACCCGCTTCAAATCCGGGACGATAAGTTTATACCGGTGTCCTCGCGTGCAGCTTGGTGTGCGCAGATGAATTAGTTGTCTCAACATGGGGTAATCACCCAGATGTAATATCCGGTGCGTCATGATGAGGTCAACCCTCAGCCGACGATAAGATAGGGTGTATAACCCTAGTTTCTTACATCGGTCTTCGTATGGCATACCTCGTAAGTTGGGAATCAGCCTAGTGGCTACATGCTGCACCAGCTCAAGCTTTTCTACTTCGCCCCGGGTGATGGGACAGTATGCGGGAGTGCCGTACTCTAGCATTGGTCGTATTATCGAGACGAAGAGGCGAGTGGCAATCTCTTCGGACCATGTGCTAAAGCTGCGCCTGAGAGCCCAAAGCATACGAAGGCTGTTTTGGTACAGCCTATTCGTGTTGTCAATGGACTTTAGGTCGCAGCGTGAGAGTACACCGAGGTCGCGCACGAAAGGAGCGGGATGCAACGGTTGTCCAGCCACTGTGTACGTTCGGCCGTGATCACACTTACCCAACCTCATGAATTGCGACTTGGCAGGGTTGATGGGAAGGTTAACCTCTGCAGACCATATTGAGAGGCGGTCGAGATCCTGCTGAAGTAAATCGCAATCATTGAGTGTGCGGATTACTCTCCACACTTTCAAGTCATCTGCGAACAAAGAACAATGTGATTGTAGTAGCTGAGGCACATCGTTTATATGGATTAGAAAAATATCGGGCCCAGTACAGTGCCTTGGGGCACGCCGCTGCTCGATGGATACCAGTCTGTTAGATGGTTGTCCACCTGGACTCTCCACTTTCGATCCACAAGGAAATTGCTGATCCATTTGTGCAGCGAACCACCAACACCGCACATCCTCAGTCTGTCAAGGAGCACTGCATGGTTAACCTTGTCAAAAGCCTTACTGAAGTCAATGTAAATGACGTCAACCGATTGGCCTTTGTTCAGCGCTTGTAACCATTCGTGCCTCGTCAACAGTAGGTTGGTGATGCACCAACGACCTTTCAGGAAACCATGCTGTGCGGAGGTTAACAGGTTTTTCGACTCGAGAAGTTGCAGAAGGCTCTTCTTCACGATCTTCTCGAGCGTCTTTGCCAAAACTGCCGTCAGGCAGATCGGCCGGTAGTTATCCACTTTGCTTGGGTTACCACCTTTCGGGATAGGCTTTACGACTGAGCATTTCCAGTCGTCCGGTAGTAGACCAGTGGATAGTGACCTGTTAAACAGTTCAGTTACAGAAGGTGCAATTATGGTCGATAATGACTTGAGGATTAGTGGGTGTATACCATCTGGCCCAGCAGGTTTCGTCCCGTCAAGATTTGCTAGAAGCTAGCGCACATCCTCAATATTGCAGTCCAGACTGTTAAGTTCGGCTGGAGCGGTGTTCGTCGAACTCATTATAGACACCTGGTCACTTGCGAATACGGAGGCGAAGTGCGTTGCCAATGCTGACGCACGATCTGTACTCGAGGTTAGAGGCTGTCCTTCTGAGCCTTCTAACACCGCTTTTTCTGCACCAAAAACACGACGCCAAACACATTGCTCACGCGGTTTACGCACCAGACATGAGTCAAGCTGCGAAGGTAGCGATGATCGAACGTAACTGGTTTCTTTATGTCTGTCGACTTGATGGGTCAGGTTTCACAGTCATATAGGAGTACTGAAAGGACGGCTGCATTGTAAACTTTACCCCTCAGGTCGAGAGTGATGTGGCATCGGTGGAAATTGGCAAAAGCGTCGAGTTTTTCCTATACTGTTCGTGACGTGATCTTCTATCCCACGGGCGCTAATATAGCTGACCAACTGCTTGAATTCCTTAGCGACTTCCAACTGATCACCACAAGAGGTCAGCAAAAGAGTGGCTCCTGCCAATATTGGAGAAGGATTTTCGTTTCGAGGGAGCAAAGCATAGCTCGAAACGATTGACAGCCAGTGTTAATCTGTCCAGTGTTGTTTGGCCCGTTTGTGAGCTGCCGCACATTAGGACCGTGTCATTGGCATGCCCCAAGTCAAGAATTCGTTCACCGTGAAGCAGCCCTACACGTTGTGGAGTTACAACGTCAGCGGGCATCCTTATCTCACACCGCTTGATGCATGGAAGGGTGGCGACATTTTGCCATGAGCTCTTATTCTGTCCGAATTATGCGCGTACAAGGTGTTGATTATGTTTCCATATTTATCGGGTGCACCTTCTTTGAGCAAACAGCGGCAATCAACACATCGGTCCACCGAATCGAAGACACAATTGATGCCTAGGAACACGATTCCGGTACGCCGGCAATAAGTACGGCGGTGTTTTGAGAACTGACATAATTTATGGTGTTTTCAACACAGCCTCGATTTGTGCGAAACCCGGCTTGCTATTAGCGAATCTTGCTTTCACAAGTGCCATCCTATCTGTGGAGAACGACAGCCGCAATCAATCGGTTCCATTTTACCGACACTTTCATCCGTAGAGCAATCAAGTTATACCGTAAGGATTTCGAATTCCTCTATTATTCTCACAATTGCTCCTGTCGATGTGTCGTCCGTTGCTTTTGCTGTCGCTTAACTGTCTCATGGGTCATACTCCGTCAGTCACTGGGACGTCGGATTTCATTATAGAGGGAAATCTAGTCACGAAGTTGTTGAAGGGGTGTTGACCGCACGTTCTCGCGAGCAATTCATCCCCAGGGCGATGACGGATAGCAGGACGCGGGTGAGACTAGTGAATCATTAGGTCAGCGGATGTGGAGTAAGATGTTGTGAGGATATTCCACGACTTGGGGTTGGAGCATGCCCCACCTTATCTCTTTAACAAGTCCTGTCGGCAAAGCGTGCTGATATTTGTTTCCCATTCCATCACAGCCGGTAACCAGTGTCCTTGCAGCTAAAGTTGCCAAGTGCTTGTCCGAGAAATCATTTGCATGCGATGTGCACATTGAGCACACGGGCCAACAGGCGAAGAACGAGTGGCTCAGTGAGTCGGTACGTCACAATTTGGTATGACCAAACGGCTAACTTGTGTGTAAACCAGTGCACGTCGGCGAAGTCAGTGATGCGACGACTGCAGTGCGCGAAGCTTCCTGACATCAAGTGATAGCGGTTTGCTATGTACCAAGCTGCGCACTAAGGCTTTAATGCGGATACTAATGCGACAGTCTTAGTGTATGTTCCACGGATAGCACCGGTTGTTTTTCAAGCTAATATGAGACTGACATAGAATGCGCGAGTTGAGTCAAAGCGGGAATGTGCTTCATACACCCATGAAGGTGAACATAGAGCTCTAATGACTTCGCACCTCCATAAACTAGTGCTTAGCAAGTCCCGTAATTGGTGAGAATGTGAACCACAATTGTGCATGCACCCATGCCACGATGAACTATTGATGTACTATCCTGTCCGCCCAACATGACGGCCAGCCGTCTTATCTCGGCTTGTTTTCGGGTGCTCGCAGAGCCAAACAATGAATGTGACTATAAATGGCTTACCATGACCAAATATGTTGTCAAACAATGTTTACCATCTTTATTACCTCCGTTCTTTGCTCATAAGCTATTACATTTGGATGAAATTCTACTTTGCTTAGGTGCGCGTGAACGTTGGAGCAACCAATTGGACCGATTTGCATGCCCCGGCCGTCCCAGTTGGACACACGCGTGGCGTAAGAAACACTCGAGATGTGTCGCGAGCATGGTAATAAGCTCCCATCGGAGAATCGCTTGAATGCGTTTAAAACCAGACCCCAGTCGACGGAGGTAGAGCGAAATCACTGAAGTAAGAATAAGACCGAATCCATGTACAAACGAATATTTTATGCAAAAGGAAAAGGCTTACAAATCTACGAACTGGATTACACGTCCGTAATTAGCCATCACGTGCTGCAACGTTTTCTCCTTGTGACACAAGCGCTTGCGCCTGACACGACCTGCTCCAGAAAGCGAATGCGCCACTCGCTTTTACTGATTGTACCCTCGGGGGTCCCCTCGGATAATTTCCGCATACCTGCTCTTCATCGTTTGCTTCACTTAGGTTTTTATTACACTCTAGATTTCCTCGATATAGTTAAGCGCCGGACAATAAGGTGCTAGTCGTAACATCCTCCCGGATCGGTAGCATTTTTCTTGGAAACCAGTTTCCAAGTCTGTGACGCGGGGCGTTGTCACAAATCAACAAACACCGTTCGATAATATCCGAATCGTTGGCATCAAGCACCTGTCGCAGCCACTGTGCGCGCCTCTGCTTGTGGAAATTCCCACATAACACGGAAAAAGCAATCAACTCGTCGTGTGTCATAGCTCTAACCTCGTGCACATTCTGGCCACTATTGTTTGCCATAGTACACTT